ACTTGAGCCCAGGAATTTGAGGTTGCTGTGAGCTAGGCTGATGCCATGGCACTCTAGCCAGGGCAACAGAGCGAGACTCTGTCTCAAAAAAAAACATCCAAGAAAATATGACTTAACCAAATGATCTAAATAATGTGCCAGTGACCATTCCTGGAGTGGTAGAGATACGTGACCTTTCAGATAAAGAATTCAAAATAGCTGTTCTGAAGAAGCTCAGTGAACTTAAAGACAACACAGAAAAGGAATTCAGAAGCCTATCAGAGAAATTTAACAAAGAGATTGAAATAATAAAAATCAAGCAGAAATTCTAGAGCTGAAACAATTCAATTAACAAACTGAAAATGTATCAGAGTCTCTCAGCAGCAGAATTGATCAAGCAGAAGAAAGAATTAGTGAGCTTGAAGATAGTCTATTTGAAAATACACAGTCAGAAGAGAAAAAAGAAAAAATAAAAAAGAATGAAGCACACCTACAAGATGTAGAAAATAGCCTTAAAAGGGCAAATCTAAGAGTTATTGGCCTTAAAGAGGAAGTGGAGAAAAAGATTGGGGCAAAAAGAAATAATAACAGAGAACTTTCCAAACATAGAAAGATGTCAATATTCAGGTACAAGAAGGTCATGGAACACCAAACAGATTAAACCCAAACAAAATTACCTCAAGGTATTTAATAATCAAGCTCCCAAAGGTCACAGATAAAGAAAAGGTCCTAGGGAAGCAAGAAAAAAGAAGAAAATAACATATAAAAGTCCTCCAGTATGTCTGGCAGCAGACTTCTCAGTGGAAACCTTATAGGCCAGGAGAGAGTGGCATGACATATTCAAAACTACAATGAGATATCATTACACCTCAGTTAAAATGGCTTTTATCAAAAAGACAGGCAATTAATGAATGCAGGCAAGGATGTGGAGAAAGGGGAATCCTGTACACACTGTTGGTAGGAATGTGAATTAATTAGTGCAACCCCTATGGAGAACAGAATGGAGCTTCCTCAAAAAACTGAAAATGGAACTACCATATGACCTAGCAATCCCACTGCTAGGTATCTATTCAAAAGAAAGGAAATCAGTATATCAAAAAGATATTTGCACTCTTGTCTTCATTGCAACACTATTCACAATAGCTAAGATTTGGGATCAACCTAAGTGTCCATCGGCAGATGAATGGATAGAAAAATTGTGGTACACATACACAATGGAATATTATATAGCCATGAAAATGAAATCCTGCCATTTGCAACAACATGGATGGAACTGGAGAACATTATGTTAAGTAAAATAAGCCAAGCACAGAAAGACCAATCTTGCACATTCTCACTCACATGTGGGAGCTAAATATTACAACAATTGATCTATGGAGACAGTAGAATGATGGTTATGAGAGGCCAAGAAGGGTAGTGGGGAAAGGGGAATAAAGTGAGGATGGTTAATAGCTGCAAAAATATAGTTAGATAGAATGAACAATATTTGATAGCAAAACGAAGTGACTATAATCAACAATAAGTTAGGGTATACTTTAAAATAACTAAAAGAGTAGAATTAGAATGTTCCTAACACAAATGATAAATGCTTGAAGTGATAGATACCCCCCAGTTACCCCAATTTGATTAATATATGTTATATACTTGTATCCAAAATCCCATGTACCCTATAAATATATATAACTATTACATACCCATAATAATTAAAAATGAAAAATTAAAAAAAATTCTTAACAATGTATTAGCAAATTGACTCCAGGAACATATAAAAAGGTTTATATAACGTGACCAATAGAGGTTTTACTTAGGAATGCAAGGTTGGTTTTAGTCTAAAATCAATTAATATAATACATCATAATTAATAAAATAAAGGAAAAAGTATGATTGTTTCAATAGATCCAGAAAAATTCAACACTCATTCATTATAAAAACCGTCAACAAACTACAGAAAGGAGATCCCTCAACTGGATAAAGTGCATTTATGAAAAACCTATAGCTAATATATATAATAGTGAAAGATTTCATGCTTCTCTTCTAAGACTGGGAACAAGGCAAGGATATTTGTCCTCACCACTTTTATTCAGCGTTGTACTAGAAGCTCTGACCAGTGCAATAAGGGGCAATAAAAGGAAATAAAAGAGATCCAGATTGGAGAGGAATAAGTAAAACTGTCTTTATTTGCAGATGACATGAACTCACATGTATAAAATCTTAAGGAATCTGCAAAATAAAAGCAACAACTTTTGTTACTGGAACTAATAATTGAGTTTAGCAAAGTGATGGGATGTAACATCAATATACAGAAATCAATTGCAATTGCACATACACAAATCAATTGCACTGCTATGTACTAGCAAGGAATAATCCAAAAATAAAATTAAGAAAACAGTTTTATTCACAAAAGCATCAAGTGGAATAAAATATTTAGGAATAAATTTAACAAAAACTCTTAAGCGAAGATATGTATAAAGAAATGAGCATACCTGCATTCTTAGTTTGGCTTTGTCTCTGAGTAACTGCATACAACGTATATAACTTCTCCGAACCTTGTCTCGCTCATCTTTAAATTGAGGACACTAACTATGGTACCACTTGCCTCACAGGGCTGTTATGAGCATTAGAACATATTTACACTATAAAGCATTACACACTGATAATTATATTTAATAAAGCACTCATAAGATAAAGGCTGTTTGCCTTCCCAGTCACCTAGTTGAAGTGGTATGAAATGCACCTTGGCAGTTTTGCCACATGGTACAGGGTTGTCTGTTCTGCCATGCTGCAGAGGAGCCATCATTCTGGACCCAGTTAGTTGTGCTTAGATTCCCAGCCATATCACTCAATCTTATCCTGAAATGACCAGCAAGACATTTTTTTTTCATGCCACAATTTACCCATTTCGTCAAAGGTTGCAACTTTCACTTGTCACTTGGAGTACTTTTTTTTTCTTTTTCATGTTATAAAGTTTTAGGATGAATTTTAGTGACAGCATATTGAATATCTGATTGTTCTTTAAAGCTGCCATTTTTCTTTTCCTTCACTTTCCTCTTCTTAAGGGCTTACGGCAGCCAGCTCCGTTTTCTGATGAAATTGAAGTTGACCTCAGTAAGCCCTATGTCAGGGTAACTATGGAAGAAGCCAGGAAAGGAACTCCTTGTAAGTAAATACCTAATTATTTTGTTGTTTTAAGCATTCCATTGTATTTATCAAATACACATCTACTGTTTATATACTTCCCTCAGTTTACTTGTGCAGGCTAGCATGTGGAGGGATTCCTCCCATCTGCCTTGATGTTCTATTTAGAAGGGTAACTCTATAAAATTTTATTTTTTTCTTAGTTTCATATACTTATTTTCTGGGCTGCTATCATAGCTATACGATATAGTGAAGCAGAAACAATAAGATATTAGCCTGAGCTGGGTTATGATCTTGTGTATTTTTATAAAGGTCCAAATAATATGTCAGGCTATCACATTTTTCATAGCCTTCAGAAGTTTCCCCACAGTCTTTCTACATTCTGTCAGCTGTGACACTGCTGATTGATAGAGGACAAAAATATCCCAAGTTGGGAAATGCTTATCACTTAATTTTATATTTACTGATATTATAATTTTCCAGGTTTTAAAAAATACTTGCTTTAGGCTGGGCATGGTGATTCATGCGTATAATCCCAGCACTTTGGGAGGCCAAGGTGAGAGGATCGCTTGAGGCCCGGAGTTCATGACCAGCCTGGGCAACGTAGCAAAACCCCTTCTCCACAGAAAATTTTTTAAAGATTAGCCAGGCATGGTGGCACACTCCTATAGTCCCAGCCACTCAGGAGGCTGAGGCAGGAGGATCACTTGAGCCCAGGAGTTCAAGGCTGGAGTGAGCTATGATTGGGCCACTGCACTCTAGCCTGGGTGATATAATGAGACCCTATCTTCTTACCAAAAAAAAAAAAAAACAACTTGTTTGATTATTTTCAAAGCCCATATTCTTTATTTGTATGCTTAATTTGCATCATTAAAGCAGCTTTTGACCACATAAATTATTAATATGTGTTTTAGTTACTCTTCCTATTTGGGGCAATTGGTTTTGGGATCACCATAAATAGAAACTTCTAAGAGCCTTTGTTATGAATACAACGTTCTATAGGCAGATGTTCTTCTCTATAAATTCTTTAATTCATTTTTTTCCAGTCCTTTTACAATACTTTTAATTATTATGGTAAGTATTAATATTTTCTCTACTCTGTAAATATAAGGTTGAACTTAGAGCCAGGCAAATACCAGGGAATTAGAGGTGATTATAGCCACAAATCTATACATTTCCAGTATATACAATATATTTGTGATTACTTCTTAATTGTGTTAGTATGTTTGCTGTCTGTTGTAACTGAGGAGTAGTGAAATACAAGAAATGATGTGGTACGGTGTCAGACCAGGGATCCCAATACCTCTTGCTTATATTTTAGCTATATAGATTATGGTTTTGGGGTCCTCAACAAAAAGAGGCTCATTCCAGAGAATTTTTCCCTTTTGCAAAAGTGTTTAGGTATAGCTCATGTTGATCACAACTCTTCTGACTCATAGTGTGATTTTTGAGCTTGGCTCCCCTTACTTCAGTAATAGGCAGGTTAATGGGGGCAGGATAAAATGGCAACAACAAAGACAACCAAAGGCTATATGGATCAGGGTCTAATAGTGGCAAGTCAAATTTCAAAATGCCAACAGACAGTTCAGAGTTCACATTCATAAGTGACGGTAGAACTTGTTGAAGGCAAGAACTTTTTATATATTCTTTAATGATGCTCGGTCAGAATTCAGTACCTCACTCAGATCTGATCACATTGGTTACATTACCTAGCTTGTTGCTAATTTATCCACATACCATTTGAGGTACATAAAAGTTGAAAATATGTATACTGTTTCCAAGTTTTGAATTAGCAAGCACTGATTGATAAATCTCATATTTTTAAAATTTGTATTTTATTTTATTGTTATTTTCTTGAAACAGGGTCTCACTCTGTTGCCCAATCTTGAGTGCAGTGTGATCATAGTTCACTGCAACCTCAGACTCCTGTGTCCAAGTGATCCTCCTGCCTCAGCCTCCTGAGTAGCTAGGAATACAGGCGTGTGCCACCACACCCAGCTAATTTTCCTATTTATTTTAGAGATGGGAGTCTCACTATGTTGCTCAGGCTGGTCTTGAACTCCTGGGCTCAAGCAATCTTTCCACCTCGGCCTCCCAAAGTGCTGGGATTATAGGCGTGAGCCACTGTGCCCAGCCTTTAAAATTTTAGAGTAATAGAATTTTATAAGTAAGTCGTTTTTGAGATTATATGCTTTATAATCTCTTCATTGTATATAAAAGGAAATTAAGATCCATAGAAACTAAGAAGTGAAGGCTTCCCTACAATAAAATAGATAATTAGTGATGGAATTGGAACTAAAACCTAGGTCTTTCCATTCTTGTGTTCTTTTCACTCTGGAGTGGTGCTTCTCTTTGTAGACATTAGTTATGAATAACAGAAGGCCATTGGCAAAATGATTGCATTTTAGGTAGAACAAACTAACAAATTAGCCTATGAAGTCTGCCAGTCCTATTCAATCTCTAGTTTTTCTCTTACAGCTCATTTTTTCTATTCTGTTTTATGTTAAATAACCAAGTAGCTAACTGTATTCGTGCCAGTGCAGGACAAGGAATAAACCAATAAAGAATCCACATATGCCACAATTAGCGAATTTTAAACCAATAATGAGTACAAGGGGCATCCCCCCAATTCTGCCCTTATGTTTTCATTAGAGAGATTGAGGGAGTTCAAGAGGGAAGTTTGTATAATCTAGGAGAAAATGCTCTATGCAGAGAAAAAAATACGACTTGAGAAATGAGAAGATCAGCTCTGGGAATCTTTTTGATGATGAAAAAAAAATCAGCAATATTTTCACCCAGAGAAAGGAAGAATAAAGGAGAGTCTGAATGGAAATGGAAATCTGTTAGGGACAAAATGTTTCAGTGGTAGGTATTTGGGAGACTATATCAAAAGAGACAATAAATTGAAACCCAGGTTTGTTCTGCCTAAAGGAGGACATATCGTTACTTAGCCAGCAGTAGTTCAACCGTATAATTTATAATCCAAACCAGGATAATTTTAAGAGTGAAAAGGAGTTGCTCTTAATACTATGCTGAGACAACAGAAGTAAACCAGGGGGTGTGGTTATCCTGGCCAGTAGCCACTCTGTGAAAAAGAATGGCTAATGCTTGCTTTCTTCTCAGACTAGTTCAACAGTGGCCCCTTGTGGCCATTTGGTTAATTATACCAGCCTGGGTTTGCCAAAGACTTGGGATTAAGTCATATAGGTAATTGAGATGACCAGGGGCTAGGGAGACACTGAAGAGGGCAAGGGGCATGTCTGGGGTTGGTCCAAGAAAGGGTTCAGTGATGCACTTAGCCTCCCATGGGATGATTCTGTGCTGGCAAATAGTCACGCGATCAAGAGCATTCTATGCTGTTGCCACCATCCAGACAGTTTGTTTCCTCAGCTAAATCTCCCTGCTGTATGCTGTCTAATAGCAAAGAAACAACAAAATATTCTTAATGTTTATATTCTATCTTTTGGCTTTTAGGATCAAATAAAGTGAGATCATAGCCCCCTTGGACTTGTTTTGGAAAAATGGAAGTGCTTCATGGTCATGATTTCTGGGATATAGAAGAAGGATTATAGTACTTAGATTTTGTTTTATTTTGCTTTGTTTTATAGATGAGAAAACAGGCTTAAGGAAGTTAAGGTCACAGAGGAAGGAAGCTGATTGGCGAGCTTGAGCTATATCCTCTCTGACTCTTAAATCTGTTGCATTATCTCTCAGTTTTTCATTGTATTGATGTATTTATTTTACTTTAAGATTTTATTTCCTATATTATAAAATCAACACATTCCCACAGTTTAACATCTATAAAGTACAAAAAGGGCATAAAGTGAAATGTTTCCTCTCAACTCCTGTCTCACAGCCACCCAGTATCCCTTTTACAGGCATCTGGCATTGTCAGTTTTTTGTGAATAAACTAGAATAAACTATTTCTAAAGAAATAGTTTATATATTCTCCCACCTTTTAGTGGGTATATTATGGTATATTTAGTCTTCCATTAAAATTTAGGTTATTTCCAAACTTTTGCTATTACAATACTGTAATGAATAATATACATATTTACCAGTATATCTATGAAATAAATTTCCTAGAACTGGACTAGCTGGGCCAAAGGGTATAAGCATTTGGCATTTGTTTTTTGATAGATATTACCTAATCGCCCTTCTTAAAAGTTGCTGATATTCCTATCAGCACTGTATGATTTCTCAGTTTAAAAGCTGCTTGCTTATAGATAAAGCTATTTGAAAAGAAAAGTCTATAAACTTCCTCAGAACCAATTTCCTCCTCGTTAATTCACTGCCCTTAAGACAAGAGGGAGATGTATCTTATTCCCATCTTCAATGTAGTATATCTGATGAAGCTTTGGCCCTTCTTCTCAGAATGATGTAGATGCTCCTACTGTTATTTTCTGCTGCTACAGTGAAATAGCTCTTTCTTTATTCACATAGTGGGGATAAGTTACTTGGACTCCTTGGATTTATCATTGAAGCATGATGAGCCATATGTCAATTTCAATTCTCAATATGTTTATTTGGCTTTGGAATTTTAGTCTTGTACCTCAGGAGATCATTTCCTGGCTTCTCTTTCATAGGTCACTACCACTAAAAATAAGTTGACAGTCTGTTCTTCTCACTAATGGAGATGAGAAGAGGAAAAGCTATAATGAAAAGTCCCGAAGTATTTATATTTGATATTTCAGTATTTAGTATACCACCCTCTACTGAGAAAGTGTATCATGCTCACTATAAAGGAGAAATGCTTTAAGGAGTTCTGTTTTAACAGAGCAGGTATTGATGGGTGAATCTGGGGCTGAGAAGCAATAAATTGATAACTGGTCTACTTAGGTACTTACTCTGCCAGTTTTTCAGTCTCACCCTCTGGATCACCCCTTGCTCTCTGGGCAATAGTAGGAAGGTTTATTTTCAAAGGAAAGCATTGAAAATCAAGGCAGTTGAAAATGAGAGAGCAAGCAACCAGAGTAGAGTTTGACTATGCTCTATTTAAACATAACTGAAAATTCATAAACTGAAGATGAGGATTTTGAAGTTCAGGACATATATCTGTTGAATAACTCTTCCTTTTCATTCCTAAAATAACTTTAAGAAAAAGCAATCATACTTTTTTTTTGTAGGGGGGGTACTTGAGAAGTTTGGTACAACCAGGCTAACAAAGAGTTAGTGGAGATAATGTCAAAAGTGTCTTTGTAGTAAATGTTAAGTGTGTTTTTCTTACAACCCCAAATCATGCCAAAATTAGTATGAAAACCCAGAGAACATCTTAAGAGGGTTATACAGTAATGGAAAAATCACACAGTGCCATTTGCATTTGTCAAATATGAGGTATTGAGTAAATGTATTTTTGTGATAAATTCTCTTTCTTCCTTTCTTTTCTTTCTTTCTTCTCTTTTTCCAAATGTGATAAATTCTTTCATTTGGATTCAGGTGAGCGGCCTGTGAGAGTTTATGCAGATGGAATATTTGACTTATTTCACTCTGGTCATGCCCGGGCTCTGATGCAAGCAAAGAACCTTTTCCCCAATACATACCTCATTGTGGGAGGTAAGAAAATAACTGAAGTGCTGTTCAAAAAAAGATTATAGAAGTCTTTTGCTCTCTCCTGTCTTTATAACCTGAGTATATTATTCCAGTTTTTAAATGAAGGATGTAGTACAGCCTCTTTAAAACGTAAAGCATGTGAGGTACTAGCAACCTATACCTGGAGAGAGGGGTTCTAAGTTCTTTGACCTGTGATGTCTAGTATTTATCTCACTGTTTTCAGCTGAGTTTCTGCAGCCACAGAATCAACAATGACCTCTATTGCCTACTTAAGAACAGCGTGTGCTCTAGATTTCAGTTTATCATTTGGAATCAACTGAAATACAAAGTCTGCCAAGCAAATGTTACGTGCTCCAGTCCAGTCTTATTAAAATAAAATAGGAAAACATTTTTTAAAACTTAATCGATGCAGAAATGCACAGTAGGTTCATTTCAGAGTCAAAGATCTTAGTCCCCTGTCGAACCCTCTCTTCTCCAAAGTGTGAACATACTATTTAGTGAGTGTTGCTGCTGAAGGTATATCTTGGGTTAGGAAAAGCACTGTTACTCAAACTAAGCTACATCCAGAAGATTTTTCTCTAAGTGGGGGTGGGGAGGGGATGGTTGCAGTCCTAGGAAGTGGGATAAGATGGGAGAGGTTGGTGACTGAGGAGTGGTTAAGCATAGGGGACCTTGACTTACAACATTATGATGTGGTGAACTCAGTCTGCAGTGATGAGCTAACACACAACTTCAAAGGCTTTACGGTGATGAATGAAAATGAGCGTTATGATGCAGTGCAGCACTGCCGCTACGTGGATGAGGTGGTGAGGAACGCCCCCTGGACCCTGACACCTGAGTTCCTGGCAGAACACCGGGTAAGAAACTGGGTATAGGTCCCCATTCCTTGCTCCAGAATCCCCTCAACTCTCAAGGCTTCTGGCACTTGGCCTAGTTTTCTGCTAGCCCTATTTTACTTCTACCTTCTTTGTAAGTTTCATATAGAGGAGATGACAGTGATATTACTAATAATACTAGTAACCCATGACATTTACATGGGGTTTGATGGTTTACAAGAACTTTTACATCCATTATATTTTCTCCCACAACAATCCTGTGGGGTACTTATTATTTCCACTTTACATGTAAGGAACAAGGCCTAGAGAGACCAAATAACTTGCTCCAGGTGATACCATTAGCAGGGCTAGGAATTGAACTCTTCCATTATGTGATTTTTTTCTCCCATATCATAGGTATGTCCACCCTTATAGCATGCCATTTTCTTTAGAATATCCATAGCCCCAGCCATGCTCTCAAGAAATTCACATTCCAGGAAACTAAGACAGATTAATATAGACTTCTCTAGCGTTGACTTAAATTTAGTTTCAGAGCTTTGATTTTGGGCTAGAAATTATGCGAGATCAGAAATTAAGGATGTTTCTCACATTTACTCAGTTTATAAAGGTTATTATAAAACCCCTTACCTCCTTTTACTTCTCCCACATTAAAGCAACTGGTTTCTTACAAAAGGTGAGAAAATTTAGAGGCCAGGTCGGAGGCCTTCAAGCTCAAGGAACCAGCAAGCATATTGTCAGGTCTCTACAGGGGTGTATGGAATGTTCAGTGAGGTGAATTGTTCAGTGAGGCAGGAAAGAACAAAGGTAGCCAAAGTGCTTCTAAAGCATGCTTGGGCAGTCCTGAAGTTAGGGGATATTTTGTTATAACTATTTAGGATTAGGACAGACCTTTTGTAGTTCTTTAGCTTTTAGCAGCCAGTGGCACCAAAGGTAATGAGCAAGATTATTTGCGGCAATAGAGCCAGGCAGGCCCAGGCAGAAGTATGAGGTTAGAGGAACTTCCAGCTTCCCTTTTCTCTTTGTTAGCATTATATACTCAACCACGAGTTTTGCTTGCCCCCATTCTTTCCCTTGCTGCCTATGGATCCCTGACAAGTTGTTCGTGGGTAATTGAATGTTAGCTGAGAGTTCCTGACACAGTCCCAATGAGCATGCTTCATACTGCAGTGGCCTCTGGGAGTTGGATATAGTGGTGTTAGTGATTATGTTAGCAAAAGGCCTATGGCCTGTACAGGAAGGAGTAAATAGGTGAGGTTTAGCATATCTCTAAAAAAGATTATTGATCCACTGCCATTAATCTCTTCTTACTCTTGCAAAGGATATTGACAGTGGTAAAATGATAGATCTAAAAGTCTTTTTTGTTTATTATATGGCTTTGGGTTTTGCATTTCTTAGGAGTACAGATGTATCTATTCCAGTAAAAGAGCTCTTGGTTGCTATTTTTATATTCCTCCTTTTCTTGTGGACTGAGAGAGAAACCAGTTAACAAAGTGACCTCTTTCTGATACTTTTAGAAACTCTTATTTGACCAATCCTTATAGACCCAAGAGGACAGAGAGATTTCCTTCTTTCTTAGGCTCCATCCACTAACTAGCTCACCAGCAAATCCTATGGCCCTGTTGACCACAGTGACCACAGTGTGGTGACTGGTATACAGAGTGAGGGAGCATCTCTAGTAGACCAGGAGAAATAGCTAGAAAATCAACTGGCTAACTTTGTTTTTATAATCCATAAATAATTAGGTTGGGTGGTTTATGAATGGATTGTGAAATTTATAAGCAAAGCAAAGAGAGATTTAGAAAAAAGGTCCATTTGAGGTCTGGTCTCTGTTTATTGTCTTTTTTCTGGGCCTGGGAATATTTACTAGGTCTTTCTGAAGGCAATTATTCTGGGTTTTAAATGATGTTTACTTATTTTCAGATTGATTTTGTAGCCCATGATGATATCCCTTATTCTTCTGCTGGGAGTGATGATGTTTATAAGCACATCAAGGAAGCAGGTGAGTAAGTTGATGTGCATCCTCACTTTATGGAGTCTTAGGGCAGCTACAGAGATGTAGCCATATTGCTACTTTACAGAGGAAAATGTGAACACAGAGAAATTCAACATCCTCTTTCAGGTCACATTTTGAATAAAAGGTGAAGGTGAGCATAGCACTGATATCCATTGATTCTTAGTCTAAACATTTACTTTTGTTGTCTCTCCTAATTTCAGGAAACCCTTTCCCAGTCCCATAATTTTCTTAATATTGGTGCGTTGTAGCTCCTCCTTTTCTTACTCCTAGTATTTGATTCAGTCCTCCTTCCATATGTCAGCAACTCTAAACTTCACTTGGTAATAAGAGATTCTGCTTTTTGAGGAAGGGAAAGGAATGTTGCTCCCAGTTTCCATCTAGTCTTACTACCTGAGCTAACCAGAACTTCACAGTGTTTGTCTGTCTGTGTTCTTGAGTTAGGCATGTTTGCTCCAACACAGAGGACAGAAGGTATCTCCACATCAGACATCATCACTCGAATTGTCCGGGACTATGATGTGTATGCGAGACGGAACCTACAGAGGGGATACACAGCAAAGGAGCTCAATGTCAGCTTTATCAATGTGAGTTCCAACCTCATCCCAGAGTTCCTTGGCTCTACAAGGATACACATTGCTTCTCATTCTATCAGAGCTGAACTTGTTTTTCAGTCTGCGGTAATTATTACTCCCAAAACCTCAATGAATGCCTCTGTGTAGGTAACATTATTTAAGCTCTTTACAAAGAGAATAAAACAGGGGCAGTTTCTGCCCTTATGGTCTAGTATCAATACATTACTGTAAGGGTACACAGCCAATTGAATAAATAAGAATTTGTATTTATATAGTATAGTACTTATATCAATACATTTCAAACAGTGGCTCTTAACCTTTTTTTATTTTTGATTGGATGATCTTTTGAAAATCTGATGAAGGCTTTGGATCCTCTTCCTGTGTGGATGGTGACACACAACATTTTGCATGCAATTTCCCCACATGGACCTAAGTTTTACATTTTGATTTATGAAAGGTTAAATTTATCTTAGCTTAATATTGCCCTTTAGAAACACTGTGTATTTTGTATGTAAATTATACTTTAATAAAGTTGAGTTTAAAAGAAGAAAGATGCTAACTATATCTTCTACGTGCCCAGCTTCCCATGCTCTCTCACCTGCTCCCGTCTCTGTGAATTAAGCTATGAGAGTTGGTGAAATTGTTTCATCTAACTATGATTTATCTATGCAGATAAATGCTAGCTCTTATTAATTCATCTACTGTAGAATCTTTATCTATTTTCTCATAAGACTCAGGTATTTGAAAACCCTAAGCATATTTCCTTACCTCTTTATGATCTGGAAATTACGAGAATACTTTTCATTTGACTAAACATCCCCCCCAACTCCCTAACCCCCACCAGAAGGTTCATACCATTTTTCCTCATTGTTTTTTTTTTAAGTAAAGTATCTGTTCAGCATTCCATTTTTTTTATAAAATAGATTTTTCCTTATCTTTAGGAAAGTCGGTAAGACAAAAGAGTAAAGGGACTTCCAAATACTAAAAAATAAAACACACAACTCATCCAAAATCATAGATTAAGCCAGTGATAGGAGGAAAAAAATCAAGTACAATAAATTAAGTAAAAGATCTAGTACTTCTGCTTTCAGTTTTATTCTTGGCAATATTGTGCAGTGATCTTTTTGCTGACTCTGTTATCTCCATCTAGAATGAGCTTTGGGTCATGTTGGGCACGTTTATGTTCCAAATTTATGTTTTATCTTAAAAAATCTGACTTTATTTGGCTACCTCTCTCTATTACTGGGCCTAGCCTGTATATTTAGTCCCGAACTCCCACAATGTTAGAATTATGAAACCTTCATATAAGATGACCATCCAAAGCATATGTTTTTTTTTTTTTTTTTCCAAAGCATATCTTATCGGTTATTGTGCTGAAGAAGTGTGGGGTAGAGTAAAGCAAAACAAATTCTAAAGACCGAAAAGAGTGTCAGTAGAGTACTTGAACCATATTTTTTCTTTCCCCTTTAGTAGGGAAGGTCAGGATAGGTATTATTTCTCAAAATAGTTATTTCTTTCCCTAGGAGAAGAAATACCACTTGCAGGAGCGGGTTGACAAGGTAAAGAAGAAAGTGAAAGACGTGGAGGAAAAGTCAAAAGAATTTGTTCAGAAGGTGGAAGAAAAAAGCATTGACCTCATTCAGAAATGGGAGGAGAAGTCCCGAGAATTCATTGGAAGTTTTTTGGAAATGTTTGGTCCAGAAGGAGCTCTGGTATGTTCTTTCCCACTGGACAAGTTAGAAAAATTTCAGAGAAATTCAGGGAATTTCAATGTTTTGGTAAGAATTATAGACCCTCTGGCTGGGTGCACTATCTCATGCCTGTAAATCTAGCACTCTGGGAGTCTGAGGCAGAAGGATCACTTGAGCCCAAGAGTTGAAGGTTGCAATGAGCTATGATGATTCCACTGCACTCTAGCTGAGGCGACAGAGTGAGACACTGTCTCAGAAAAAAGAATTATAGAACCCTTGAACAGAAAGGGACAGAAACATTAAGAAGTTAGCTAAGCTATTCCCCTTGTCTGGGCAGAACTATGTTTTAGCTATCTCCAGAAAGTTCTTTAAAATCTTTACAGAAAAAGGTTACCCATTCTCTTAAATAATATTACCAGCTCTCTATCAACCTTGAAATCTGGTGACAAGATAAGCAAATAGCTTTTCTCAGCTTATTTCTACATTATAATTTTAGATAGAAGGAAAGGAAAGAATAAAGAACAGTAAAAAGAAAGTTACCTCCATTACAAACAGCTGCTGTAGGATCCCTGGGTAAGGTAGGAATTCTGTCCTTAAGGAGTAGCAGAGTCTTTTTAAACCAAATGAAAGAATCAGCAAGTGAGACCTCGGTTATATCAGGAAGGATCTGACTATGAGGGTGTTTGGATGCTAGAATAGATAATTCAGGAAGAATGTGGAATTTCCTTTTCAGAGAACTCTAAAACTGGGCTAAATACCCTATTTGTCTGTGTTATTAATAGTTCCTTTGTTTTTGCCTGGAACCTGGACTACAGACTAAGTAGCCTTCTAAGAATTCCTTCGACATAGGAGTCAAAAATTTGATGACTATGCATAGAAGGTGGGAACGCTTAAATAAATAATATAGACCACTTAAGGGAGGAAATTGCTTAGGATTATAGTTGTGTCCCTCCTCTGACTTATTTGATCACTTTTAACATTACAGAGGGCACTCATGATAATTTGAAGTCTCAGATGCTCCAGTGGTGATTTCATGGGATCCGTAGGTTTCTTCTAACTTTTCCTTTTGGTCTCCCCAGAAACACATGCTGAAAGAAGGAAAAGGTCGGATGCTGCAGGCCATCAGTCCAAAGCAGAGTCCCAGCAGCAGCCCTACTCGTGAACGCTCTCCCTCCCCCTCTTTCCGATGGCCCTTCTCTGGCAAGACTTCCCCACCTTCCTCCCCAACAAATCTCTCCAGGCACAAGGCCGCAGCTTATGATATCAGTGAGGATGAAGAAGACTAATTTTTCATCCCTCCTTTCCTGTCCCCTCCCTCTGTCTCATCACCTTCTGAAGCTCTCTGTTGAATTCCAAATTGTGATCCCAACACTAAACCTAAGAACAGCTACAAAGGAAAGAATTGAAGCAAGAGGACCGAGAAATGGGGGAACAAAAACAGCCTATCCTCCAAGAGACATCAATCACTCACACCAAGAAGGAGACTGACTATAGTTTAGAAGCCTGTTCTGCATCCATCCACCCTCCCCAAGGACTTTGTTTTACTATTATGTTCATGTGATCTTGACAGGGAAATTGTCATTTTTATTACTTTTTTAAAAATTAGTCTTTCAAATATAGTATGTAGAACTAATTTTTTGCCCCTGAGGAGTGGGCAGAAGAAGGAAGTGGCGTAACACGCAGAGGCCTTTTCTTCCTGATACACTTTAGTGTTTGCCTTCTGTTCTGAAGCAAAGTGGCTTACCAAGTCATTCATGTGATGAGCCATGCTGGTGGGTAATTTGGGGGGAAATACCATAATTTTGATTTGCTTTAAAAAAGCTAAAAGCTGAATTACAGTCACAAATCCCCTAAATGTACTGCTGGCACATGTGTCAATGTGGCTGTGGGAAGAAGGAGATCTGAGCCTAACTTTTCTTACTCCCTAAGGAGTTACTTGTTGGACCCAATGGGGTCCATGGAGACACTGATGGGGATGGAACCAGACCACATGGCATCGGCTGCAGTTTTTCTGCTGTGTTCATCTTCTCAGAAAATTCTGTTGCCCAATTATTTGGGAGCTTTTGTCAATCTCTTTCCTATAATCTACCTTTAAAGGAAAGAACACTTTTAGGGTTACTGTGATGAGGAGAGTAGTGGGACAATACTCAATCCTATACAAAGTCAGTTTAGATTCATTTCCTGCTGAGAGTAAGTCCCCGGCCCTTCTATTCCTATTTCAGTGCTATTACCTAGCTTTTTACAAAGGAGAGTTTGTAAATGTCTTCAGTGTGAACTTGATGTTAATCCATGTTGCTCATAGCCATATTGAATTTAGAGAGATTTGCACAGAACCTAGATGCAAAAGCATAAGGAAATACTTTCCTTTCTAAAGCAACAGCCTTACCTTAACCTCTGCTCCTCTTAAGAATATTCTTAACTGGAACCAGTGTTCCATGAGGTGTTTCTTTTCCTCTGAGAACTACAACTGGCAGGGACTTCCCTCCACTGCTCCTGCAACAAGCCACAAAGCATGGGCTCATATGACAAAAGTATGGTAGGTTTCTCCCTCTTTCCCACGTGTGCCTTGTTGTTATGGTCCCACCTCCTCTGTTAGGTTGTCCAGGGGGATTCAGCACTTAAATTTCAAATCAAAGAATGCTGATGCTTAACATTTGCTGTTAAGCATGATCTAATTTTTAAATACCATCCTATCTCCTCAGCTACATGACCTAGCAGATCATTAACCATCAGTAATCCTGTAGCTGGAATCAGAGGACAACTGCTTATGTCTAGGCCATACCCGCTATCACTCATACATACCCCCTTGTGGAGGTGGAGTTTTAGTGTTTTCATCTAAGAAAACCACCTTTTCTCTTTTCTTGCCTCTTTGCTGGGACTGTGAGCATGTCATAGTCCCCTTCCTAAACACTTTCTGATAAAACTTGTTGTTCTTCCTGAGGGCAAGAGGCTAGAATCACTGCCTGCCTGCACAGCAGAACTACCTGAGTTCTTAAAACTCAGATCACCCAGAGAGGCAGAGCATGACAAAGAAGAGGGACAAAGAGGGGGAAGCCTCTTATTGTCCTGATGGCCCATGAAAACTACATTCTAACTCTTCTCATGAAGTGCTGTTTTCTGGTTCACACAAGCTTTAGCTTGGAATCCTTTCTTTGAAACAGTTGAAGTTAGTGTTTTCTCATATTACCCAGCTTTATGTGGTCTCATATTTTAACTTTCCTGCTTCAGTCTTCCCTCTTTGGGAATTCTGCCTATTTCTGTCTGATTCTCCCTGGTAAAGAAAGGTGATGAAGTCACTGGTAAAGCCCACCTACTTGTTCCCTCAAAGTGCACATTACCCAAGTGTATTTGGATGGACAGGAAGATGCTCAGAATGTGGTTTTCCTCTGCAGTCACTCCTCCTAAATATATTTTCTGGGTCCCAAATGTTTGAGCCATCCTTCTCTGCTTTCAGTGGGCTGCTTTTAGCATGCCCTGTGCTTGGAGTAGGACCTGTAGGCTGACAGGGTCTGTGAGACTGCTAGAGCCAGCATATGCACATGTTCTTGGAAGACTCTCTCACCCCTTTTAGTGAGATTCTAGTGCCTCAGTCTCCCAACGCTAGTATATTTTCAAATAATTTTGACGGAAAACAAAAACGTTTATGGTGTGGCATGTTAGATACTTTGGAGTAAATGTATTAATAATCTTAGGTGCTGGACAAGGGCGAGTGGATGGAGGAAGCCATTAAGAATGATGCATTATTTGATCATTTGTGCCTAATTAAATGAGGTTAGAGGTCTGTACACTACAACCATGCCTATGGTCTGTAAATCTTCAATTATTAATGTTTGAGGCTATGGAGCTGTTTCCCTGAATCCCACACAAGAAAGCAGTCAACCTGGATGGGCCAAATGTGGCAGATGTAGGAGAGCCTTAAAAGTTGCTTGACCTTAGAGCCTGTGTCTGCAAGACAGAAGGAGACTGAAGACAGAAGAAGCCCTGTAGCTAGTACTGAGGAGGTGCCAGTTCAGCAGTTACCTTAAGGTGGGCCCGGCAGAAAGTTTGCTATTTTCATACTCTAGGCTCAGGAGCACTGAAGACTAGAGGTTGAAACTTTAGAGGAATAGAAATGGATCACTTGAACTGCTGTAGCTGCTTCTGATAACTAGAGCCAAACACCATTATTTTGTGGAGACTTGGGTAACAAGGTTTAGGAGGTGAAAAAGTTGAAAATCCTGAAGAGAAAAAATGGAAGGGAGGTTAAGAAAACTTTTGACCTTTTTGATCACTGATAACTTCTTAGGCTGTACCTGAGTTATACTTAATTTACTTACGGCCACAGAGCTGGTCAGACATTCTCTATATATTCCCTCCACAATGTTCTTCTCAGTGCTTTTTTACTCCCTTTCTGGATTATCTTGATTTGTGGGTAGCTTATTTTCTGGAGCTCATTGCCTTTTTAATCCTATTCCAGATTGCTTATCCAAAATCTTTCCAAATCAATTCTATTTTGTTGCTTTTCTTAATTCCTTAAAAGCCATAGCTTCTAGATTTTCTGTCAGCATATACTCTCACCAGAAGTTGAACCAATACAGGTAAGGCAAAAAAGCTCCCTTAACAATGTTTTTAACTAATGGTATTTTTTTAAAGCTTACCAATATAAGTATTTTTAAAGGTTATATTTTTCAAAGTCATGACAATGATTGTTATTGTTTTCTCTCATAAGTAGATTGTCATGGGATAAAGAGTTGTCCCTAGCTTCTATTTTTCCAAATAAATAAGCAGAACATGTTCTTTGGGATTATACAATTAAATGTTAATTTTCTTAAAAAGTTAGAAGAAGATTTTCTGTCTGCCAAAGTTTTATTAATATGTTAGTACTGGGATTGGGGTAGAAAACAAAAGCGCCAGGTTTAACATTATGATGACTCAAGTTGTGTTCCTTTAGGTTTGAAGTGGGCCTCCCCACCCTTCTTTGGGAGGCACTAACTGTTCTGAACACAGAAACATGATTGGTTCGGTTGTTTGTATTCAGGATCTTGAAAAGAAAAAAAGAGACTTGGAAAAAACTGCTGGCCTTGGCATGAATGTTCGCCCCATTACCAATGTGAGTCCACAGGGAAGTTTTCCTCAATTGGGGTTCAGTCTCTCATTTTCCTGTCTGAATATTATTAATTTGTTCAGAGTTATTTGGCTTTTGTCATTTAGCCAAATAAAGGCAACGTGGTTTTACCTAATTTCCATTTCTTACGTGTTTGACCTGGTACATGTGTATGGTACATTTTATGCACTTGGTACTCGAACTCTCAATTCCTTTGCGTTTGTATCCTAATTTATCTTCTCAAAATCAAGCCCATGATCATATTATCAGGAGATTCCTTTTGTAGCTTTGCACAAAACACTGAAAGAGCCATCGTCCCACCAAGGGAGATTGATATAGCTCCCCCCAGGCTTAGTGTCATTAGTGCCCTAGTGACACATCTTCAAGGGAAAGAACACCTTCCATCTGTTCTCCAGAAGCCTGGCTTCTTCACAACTTTTGGGCTGGTACTATATTACCAAGTTCTACTCCTGTTCTTATACCAGACCCATTACTGTATACTCTTCCCCCTTTTCATCTGCCTTGGGAGAGCTCACAGTGACCTTTCAATATACAAGCTTCAGAATGAACAGTGGCACCTACAGAGGCAATGTGCTCAGTTACAGAGTTTCAGACTTCATCTTGTTTATTTATTACACAACTTAAAACACCTTCCTTAGGGAAGATCCAAAACAATTTCATCTTATTGTATAGTTCACCTTCATCTTTATAGTCAAATGTAATCTGCCAGCTTGTGCTGATAATGGGAATCCTTCCCCATTTGGACAAGGTCAAAGGAACAGTGAAGAAATCTTGTGCTCTGCTAATAAGTACAGCGTCTCTTTCATGGTCCAAGCCATTCACCTTAGGCTTTGATGTTTAAGTCTGGGTCTGGAGAAGAGGAAGTTTCATACCCAACCTTGTAGTCTTTCTTTCGGTAGTACATTCGCGTCAGCACAGTCATCAGGAAAGTCTCCAGTACGAGGAGGTGGCAATTCATTACTGCAGTGTAGAGTGAAATACAATGTAGGTTATGCTAAGTTGTAGAGGTGGTATCCCACTAGCAGCCCTGACATATGAGTTGAGCAACATTTTCTCCAATTTATCCCCAGACCAGGACTTAGAAATACTAAATTGTCATAAATAACATATCAGGTTAATAGCGGAGCCAGAACCAGCACTTGGTTCTCTACCTTCTGTGATCTGAGGCTAGCATTAAAGCCCATTTCTTATGTGTGTTTAATTTGCATGGCTTCTATTTCTTAACCATACCTAGTCCTCTCCCAGGAGCTGAGGATTGAACCATGGCATCCTGGGTTGCAGGGCTGACCTCAAGCTGTAGGGTTGCAGTTCTCACTCTTTGCGATCAGAGAGGCCATAGTTTCCTTAAAGCCTCTGCTGGGATTTCTTGAAGATCCCTTTCCGAATATTCTGAGCAGAAGTCAGGCTGGTCTTACTGCTGTTCTGAAGCCCTCTCTTTACTGACTCTCCCCTATCTCATCCATCCCACAATAGGGTAGTGGCTCACCTTGAGACCTGATTTTAGAGGAAAAGGGAGGTGAACAAGCAATCTGCCCGCCATTGGCCAAGATTGAGAAAATGGCAGGCTGCAGGGCAGTCAGGATGACGACCATCTGCAGAACAGAAAAGAAGTGAGGGTGGGTTGGGACCTGCCGTCCATGGCACTGAGGCCAGCTGGCCCACTGCTGGGCCTTGTCCTTCCACTGTGTAGATTCTGCCCACCAGTAGATCTGTGCTGTTACAGAGGGTTGGGACTCATACTTGGTTAAAAAATTGTGGAGTTTTAATCTTTATGCAAATTACAATCTCATCTTCTACCCAATATTTTATTAGAGTTGCTAACAAGAAATAATAATGGCCGGGCGTGGTGGCTCACGCCTGTAATCCTAGCTCTCTGGGAGGCCGAGGCGGGTGGATT